AAGGTGATGATGATGATGATGATGATGATGATGATGATGATGATGATGATGATGATGATGATGATGATGGTGATGATGATGATGATGATGATGATGATGACGGGTTGTGTATCTTGCATACCTTACACATGCATCCCAAGCTGATGTTTGCTTACTGAACATTCCAAGTTTGATGTGTATGCGTTGTGGTTTCGAGAATGAATGATAGGGAAAGTATCCAGTCGGTGTTTGCGTCTCGCAATAAAAGCCAAGTTAATCATCTTAATTCAACTGTATAAACATCGCTATCTGTCTCAATAGGTGCGTGTGATTATAGTAATAAAAAATATATATAATATTTCATCATGACAGTTTGTGATATGACAAAATGGGTTCATGATAAAGAAGAAAAGATGGGAAATGTTAGAAACAACTTTTTACCTATGCAACTAATAATAATTTCATGATTTTTGTATTTTGATTATAACTTTTACCAAAAAGGAATCACTAAAAACCACACTTTTTGCTTATTGTGAAATTACAAAGAGCTCTCTTTTCTTCGCTTCCCATTGTAAAAGTTAAATAACGGTTTTACCTTTTCACTTGCCAGCAACATTTATAGAAAAGAGAAGACCAAAATCTCGGAGGAGCAAAAAATAAAACATTTTACCATCTCTCTTTCAGTCAGTCATAAATGGGAGGATGGGTCGCTTTGTTTAACTTTTCCTCCTTACAGAACAAGCTATACGACATTTCGGTTACAATTTTAGATTAGCAAGCAAATTTTACTGATTGCAATAAATTTGAAGAGGCACTAACTACAAAGTTTACTCATCCCAATTCAGTATCAAAATCGATTTCAGTGATCAATGACCTACGAAGTACTATTTCTGTCCTGGTTATTCAGTAATAACCTACTTGGTGATAAGTAATGTTACTTCTTGTTTTCCATGTTTATCCCATTTTTTTCAAACAAATAGTTTGTTAGTTACGAAAAAGCATCAGCCATTTTACTCCGAGTGGAAAATATAATTTTTACCAGCGTATGAATCAATTTTATCGAACAGATATGAAAATGTTTCGGTTTTTGTAAAATTTTTCCCAACTAAGGTATTTCTAAATCTTTATGTCCACTTTTCTTAGGTTAAGCAGTCGTTTTGACACATGTATCAGTTTATAACACTCCATTTTCTTTTCTCTAAGTCTAATTTTTCCTACCCATTTTAAAATGTCCATAATTATCGAATTAATCGAGCATGTAAAGCTGATAATTCTATTTAATGCACCATACATTATGAGAGGTAGTTCGATCTAATATCTTCCTGAAACAATAATATGACATATTTTCATCTGAAAAACTCTCGATAAAAACCCAATCAAAATTTAAAAATTTGTCAACCATAAGAGAAGCCAAGAAATTCCAAAATTTGCAATTCTTCATTTTATAATAAAATAATACGTTTTTTGATATTCATTCTGATTAAAATTTTTTAACTTTTCCATTCACAAAAATTGGTTCTACTTTTGCAAGTTACCTGTTAGTATTACTGATCTCTCGACACAGATAATTATTATAAAAGAAGTGAAAGGGATTATTACTTTTGATTGGAGTCAATTTGAAAAGGAAAAATAATCCTTGACTCTTCGAGTCTTAAGATTCCGATAAGTTGTGCCAATTTGTTACAAAATTGAAATTCTAGTTATTCTCACAATTCGGAACCAAATAGTCAATATAAATAATAATATTTTACAGTGGATCTCTTGCTATAGTTGTCACGAAAATGATGAAATTATAAGTGAATTAAAAGTAATTGCATTTATGATCCATTACATTCGACAGTAATTATTACTGATAAGTTGGTGATTATATTCGTTTTCTGCTTCTTTCGTTTCTCTACTGCATTCAATAAAAATAACAACTTATTTTTCATAATTTAACTTTTACATTGGATTTTATCATTTCTCGTGAATGATAATAATTAATCTATGATTGCAAAGTTAAGTAAGATATCTGCCGATTAAAGATATCGCCATAGATATAGCGGATTTTGAAATAAGTGCTATAATAATGGAGTGATAATTACCTGTTGATTTGCTAAATATTATATCATTTAGGGATGAAAATTCCAAAACTGACCTTGTCTATTTTCCTCTACTTCCAATTCCTTAGGAATTCATAGTCTCTCTTTGATCGCATGGTCACAATGGTCGCATATAATTTGCTAAAGTTGTAGGATGCCAAAGAATAATTCTCGGCATAAATTATATCTCAAACACTCTTCACTGCCCCAGCGTGCATAACAGCTGAAAATTTTATTATCGAAAGTAAACAAAAGTACCCAAAGCGCACACAGATGACACTCACAAACAAGAGTATACAGCCACATTAAATTCCGCAAGATGTTTGTGTGTGTGTATGTGTGTGTGTGTGTGTGTGTGTGTGTGTGTGTGTGTGTGTGTGTGTGTGTGTGTGTGTGTGTGTGTGTGTGTGTGTGTGTGTGTGTGTGTGT